ACAAAGGGATCTTGAGAAGCAAGAGTCTGAGAAGCATTCATATAGAACCATTAACTGACCCGGCCAGCAATGCTAGCATAATCCTGGGCTTCTGTCTATCACCATAGTAGACCCTGATCACCTGAATTTTCATGTGTCGGGATTTCATTATTCGCTCCTGCCTTCCTTCTCTCCTTTCATCTGTTTTATTAAGGTGACGAGCGAGTAAATATTGACCATGCTGTGAGATAAACAAGGCTTGATGTACAAAAATAATACAGTCCTGCCGTCAAGGAGCACGACGCCTGATGGAACAGTCAATCAGATAATTACAATGAATTGTTAGCATGGAAACATGAGAGAGCATTTTGACATCTTCCTAGAAGAAGGACAGAAACAGGACAGTACTGAAGTTGGAACATCACAAGACCTCAACAAATGGTTCTGCTTCTTGTTGGTGCTATAATCACTTCCTAATTTCAAACAGAAGTTTCCCCCACCTTAGCCACCATGGTAGTAAATGCTTTCTTTTCTCTGTAAGAAGGCATCTGCTGGGAGCTACCATCTGCTGACCCCACAACTGCAGGGTACACCTCAGCTTTTCACCCCAGGTCAATGACTAAGTACAGCCCAGATGCCCAGGCCTGGCCATTTCTGCCAGTCCAGGCTCTGCTACAGGCAGCCTTCACATCAGAGATCTCTGCCGAGTGAAGCTGGCCTCACAGTTGTATTTCTTAGTTTCTTTTTCCTATAATTCTTTCTCCTTCCTTCCCGCGTGTAAGACCTATATTATTGTTTGAGGGTTTCTCTCTCTATTCTTCCCTCCTTGCTGTTTCTTTCACAGGCCATGGCCCCTAATAAATTCTTCGAATCTCAGTCTTACTAGGGATACAATAGAAATTAGGTAGCACCTTCCTTATAGAACTGTGTAATAATTAAATCGGATGGCAGATGTTATTTGGTAAGATGTGAAGTGCTAAAGAAATAAAATTATTATGGTACCTGTTTTTACTACCAGTGCCAGAAGTATACAAGATACCAACTCGCATCTTACAGAACTGATATATATTAAGCTCTCTTTGTGTCTTGAAGATCTTTTTTATTTTAATATTTTTATTTTATTTATTTATTTTTATTTTAATGCATTGCTGTATAGTGGTTCTCATGTTTATTCATAAGGCAGAGAACATAGAAATCATGATGTTCTTTGCCGTATACCAGAACATATAGGTCAATTTATAACCGTTATATTATGCATTCATTCAACAAATATTTTAACACTTTTGTGCCAGGAATTAAGATAAGTAGGATAACAATGAATAACATTTAGAACCCATAGGTCCAATGACTATGGAGTTTTCTAGCAGAAATACACCCAGTAATAAATGTGGTCTAATCTCTAGTGAAACCAGTAGTAGCTCACTTAGTCATCTCAAAACCAAATGAAGTAGTTACACGAAATAAAACTATGCACATTTTATGACCAAAACAAGACAAAAATAAATAACCAAGGCATTCAAAGAAGTAAAATAACTTACTCAAGATTAAATAGTTGGTGTCAGAGCCAGATTTCAAACTTTAGTGTGTCAATAATCCTTAAACCAGTGATTATAAACTTTATTTTGTAGCCTCTGAAAGAAGATTACTAAAACACAGATTGCTGGCATCTATCTTGACATTTTCTGCTAAGCAAAGCTGCCCCTGTAAATGTACTTATAATTATGTGAGTGTAGTGACAAACTCTGTTCTAGGTATAAATTTACTTTTATTTTGTATTGTTTAATAATTACTGAATTTTTGGAAATGAAACTTGCAGATACATGATTCATATTTGTTCTTGAATCTCATTAAGTGACAATGTGACATTCAGCAAGTGATTATTCAACTGTCTAGAGCTTCACTTTCCAATATTAAAATAACTTCATTAGAACAAGGAGTTTCCAAGATCTCTTTTCACTCATTTATTGCATAGACTGTCTTGAACTTCCTTCGCAATTGTGTGCTGCTTGGCTTATACCCAAAGAAATTTCAAACTTGACTGGCTCTACATGATTGATGATTCAGGAAAAAATTTAATGTTTTAATAACAGCAACACATGCTCCCAGAGACTTAGGAAGGTAATATTACTCCTCAGTGTACCTGTAAAATTGAAAAGTTTCATAAAGCGCAGCGGTAAGGTGTCCTTGTGGTTTAGTCTCACATTAAAGAGCATTTGCAGCTTTAAGCTTTGCTGGGCAACGGCTTTTGCATTTTTTTTCAAAGTCAGTTTTCCACATTTGACATTTAACATCCCAAGACGCTTCCTGAGAGCTTTTAAAGCAGAATCTAGGGCGATGAAAGGAAATGATTTGGGTTTTTCCCGTTTGAGTGCTTATAATCCGATGGAAAAGGTGGACATATAAATAGCTGTGACTAATGGGATGAGCTGAAAATGAAAGTGACACATCAAGTCTGTCTACTTCACCATTGTGTCCACAGGGCCTGAGCCCTGCTTGGCTCAGGGAGGGCAGAAACCGACCAGCAACAGCCAGGAAGGTCAGAGAAGCTCTCACACGAAAGGTGATGCTTAACCTGAGCAAGGAGTCGCTTGGACACAGTGCTAGCAAGTAACAGACTTCCCGACGGGCACGCGGTTGCCCTTCACGCGGCCGGCTTTCCCCACCTGCGCCTTCTGCCATCCTGTGCAGGCCACTTCCCCTTTGAGGCTCCGGCTCTTCGTCTGTAAAATAGCAGGGTTTGAGCAAGGTCATCTCGGAGACTTTCCTCCTTCTTGCGTGACCGAATCCTGTAAAGGGAATGGCAGTGGAGATGACCCACACACCTGAGCTGCAACTGAGTTCTCCTGTTGGCAGAAAAGCACACATTAACAGGAAACCGAGCCAAAAAAGAAAAAAGAAAAGAAAAGTAATGACACTTGAAAAAAGGAAGAGAGGTGAGGGTTTGAGAGAAGTTTTTCGCGGGCTGAGGGAACTCATGAGGCCCCTGGACTTGGGAACAGAGGAAAAGCGAGCAGGGGAGAACTCCGCTCAGCAGATCTCTCCCTCTCGGCCTTTGCTCACTTCGGCCTCCTCCCAGACCAGATCCGGTCTTAGCCACCGTCCGTGCAAATTTGGGAAAGTCCCTTAGCAAGGGTCCGACCGCCCGCACCTGAGGGGGCCCGCCCCGCCCTGACCACGCCCCTCCCAGCCCCGCCCGGCCGGCTTCCGGGCTCGCGACTATTTCTAGGCTGCGCGTCCCT